TCTTCTCGAAACTGGCTGTTCCCACCCTTGGCCAAAGTTTTTCCTGGGTCAGGCTATTAGGCAGTGGCCTAGGGCCCAGCACCGAGCTTATGCTTTCGCCTTATTCTCTGTTGCCAAGTTCATTTTGAAGGGAAAGAGAGAGAGGGAACCCCGAAAGTCTCAAAAGCACGTGCTTGAGGTTGCAAGCTCCGAAATCAGGCTGCTTTCTGTCAGTTGGTACGAGCTCAGCAGCAATAGGATGATGCTGACTGATGCCGCTGGCTTTTCCCTCTCTGATGCCTCCAAGTCAGAGGCAGAAGGGGGCATGTGGAATGTGGTTTCCCCCATAGCCTGATCCAGCCACTCCGAGATGGCACTGGAAGCAGTATGGGGATGTAAGGTGTGAAGAGGAGAGGCTAAAGGTGAGAAAGTTAATGGAATAAAGGAAAGGAAAGGCTAGAGGAAACGGGACTGGTACAAAAATGGCCCCATCCAGTGAAGGCAGGAAGGAGTGGAGGGAAGGAGGTCCCAAACTGTGGTTGAACTCAATGGTTTCACTGGAGGTAAGCCCCTAAGCTGGTGCAGCTCTGCACGGTGACACTTAGCAACTGTTTTGAAGCTGGGCTTCGGTGGCAAAATGAGAGGCTGTGAAGTGACGCCATGACAGCACGCGAAGCTGGAGCAGCTTGGTGTTTCACTGAAGCTCTATGTCTCGGTAGGGCAGCCCTGCAAAAAAAAAACAAAAAACCAAACCCAACCCCAAAACATCCTCCAAGTTGCTGGATGCTTTTCAAAATAGGGCAATGTTAACCTCTTCATTTCAGAGCCAGGAGAAGCGGAGGTGCTGGGTGTACCAGTGAGATGCTACCATGCTTCAGGGCAGGGGAGAACCAGAAGTGCCCCTTGGGGTCCCTCACTCAAAAATGCAAAGAACAGAAATTCGGAAGGGCTTCCCCCTTCACAGAAGCCCCAGCAGCTTTCCACCACCCCAAGCAGCTGCTGCCACCCCTGGTGACCTGCCAGAGGGCACGGGTCCGGGGGAGGCACAGGCAAGGCACCGGGGGAGGCATCTTCCTGGTGCCCTGGGGTGCAGAGGAGGAGGGAGATCCACCAGGGAAGGGGCTGAGGCCAGACAGCAGCGAGGGGCTGAGGGGGGTGACCCCCGAGGGCAGGCCGCAGGTGGGGAGGGGAGCAGGGTGGGAAGATGGCCAATCGGCGGGGATGTGCCCCGGGACCTGACGATACAAAACTGGGAGGGGGTGTTGACACGCTGGAGGGCTGTGCTGCCATACAGCGAGACCTGGACAGGCTGGAGAGGTGGGAAGAGAGGAACAGGGTGAAATTCAATAAAGTCAAGTGTCGGGCACTGCACCTGGGGAGAAATAGCCCCCTGCACTGGTACAGGTTGGGGGCTGACTTGCCAGTGAGCACCTCTGAGGAGAAAGACCTAGGAGTCCTGGTGGACAATAGGATGCCCATGAGCCAGCAATGTGCCCTTGTGGCCAAGAAGGCCAATGGTCTCCTGGAGTCCGCCAAGGAAAGTGTGGCCAGCAAGTCAAGAGAGGTCATCCTGCCCCTCTGCTCTGCCCTGGTGAGGCCCCATCTGGAGCACTGGGTCCAGTTCTGGGCTCCCCAGTTCAAGAAGGACAGGGAACTGCTGGAGAGGGTACAGCGGAGGGCTACAAAGATGATGAGGGGCCTGGAGCATCTCCCTTATGAGGAAAGGCTGAGGGACTTGTGTCTTTTTAGTCCGGAGAAGAGAAGGCTGAGGGGAGATCTGATCAATGCTTATACTTTAAGGGTGGGTGTCAAGAGGACAGGGCCAGTCTTTTTTCAGTGGTGCCCAGTGACAGGACAAGAGGAAATGGGCACAAACTTGAACTTAATAAGTTCCACCTAAACACGAAGAGGAACTTCTTTCCTTTGAGGGTGGCAGAGCCCTGGAAGAGGCTGCCCAGGGAGGTGGTGGAGTCTCCTTCTCTGGAGACATTCAAACCCCTCCTAGACATGTTCCTGTGCAACCTGCTCTGGGTTGGACCTGCTCTGGCAGGGGGGTTGGACTAGATGATCTCCAGAGGTCCCTTCCAACCCCGTGTGATCCTGGGATTCTGATCTCCCCCCGAGGGGCTCCCGTGGCCTCTCTCCGGCGGGGGAGCGGGCGGGCACCCCCCCCAGGAGGCCGGGGCTCCCTTTCCCGCCCCGGAGCAGCGGGGGGACAGCGGGGCCGCCCCGTCGGGGGAGACAACGGCCACCGCCCCGGCCCCGCCCACCCCCGGCGTCCCCGCCCACCGGGGAGGGGCCTAATCTCCTGGCCTCAATGAAACCTCATGGTAACAAATGCCATGTGTTAATTACACATGGTACAAACGTTTCCTTGCACCATTTTAAATTCGCTTCCTTCCAATTTCGCTGGGTATCCCTTGATCCTGCAACATGGAAAAGAGCAATGAAATTAGAGCTTGTTCATTCTTGCCAAGCTGTGCTGCTGTCTCTTGGTTCGTTTCTTCTCGAAACTGGCTGTTCCCACCCTTGGCCAAAGTTTTTCCTGGGTCAGGCTATTAGGCAGTGGCCTAGGGCCCAGCACCGAGCTTATGCTTTCGCCTTATTCTCTGTTGCCAAGTTCATTTTGAAGGGAAAGAGAGAGAGGGAACCCCGAAAGTCTCAAAAGCACGTGCTTGAGGTTGCAAGCTCCGAAATCAGGCTGCTTTCTGTCAGTTGGTACGAGCTCAGCAGCAATAGGATGATGCTGACTGATGCCGCTGGCTTTTCCCTCTCTGATGCCTCCAAGTCAGAGGCAGAAGGGGGCATGTGGAATGTGGTTTCCCCCATAGCCTGATCCAGCCACTCCGAGATGGCACTGGAAGCAGTATGGGGATGTAAGGTGTGAAGAGGAGAGGCTAAAGGTGAGAAAGTTAATGGAATAAAGGAAAGGAAAGGCTAGAGGAAACGGGACTGGTACAAAAATGGCCCCATCCAGTGAAGGCAGGAAGGAGTGGAGGGAAGGAGGTCCCAAACTGTGGTTGAACTCAATGGTTTCACTGGAGGTAAGCCCCTAAGCTGGTGCAGCTCTGCACGGTGACACTTAGCAACTGTTTTGAAGCTGGGCTTCGGTGGCAAAATGAGAGGCTGTGAAGTGACGCCATGACAGCACGCGAAGCTGGAGCAGCTTGGTGTTTCACTGAAGCTCTATGTCTCGGTAGGGCAGCCCTGCAAAAAAAAAACAAAAAACCAAACCCAACCCCAAAACATCCTCCAAGTTGCTGGATGCTTTTCAAAATAGGGCAATGTTAACCTCTTCATTTCAGAGCCAGGAGAAGCGGAGGTGCTGGGTGTACCAGTGAGATGCTACCATGCTTCAGGGCAGGGGAGAACCAGAAGTGCCCCTTGGGGTCCCTCACTCAAAAATGCAAAGAACAGAAATTCGGAAGGGCTTCCCCCTTCACAGAAGCCCCAGCAGCTTTCCACCACCCCAAGCAGCTGCTGCCACCCCTGGTGACCTGCCAGAGGGCACGGGTCCGGGGGAGGCACAGGCAAGGCACCGGGGGAGGCATCTTCCTGGTGCCCTGGGGTGCAGAGGAGGAGGGAGATCCACCAGGGAAGGGGCTGAGGCCAGACAGCAGCGAGGGGCTGAGGGGGGTGACCCCCGAGGGCAGGCCGCAGGTGGGGAGGGGAGCAGGGTGGGAAGATGGCCAATCGGCGGGGATGTGCCCCGGGACCTGACGATACAAAACTGGGAGGGGGTGTTGACACGCTGGAGGGCTGTGCTGCCATACAGCGAGACCTGGACAGGCTGGAGAGGTGGGAAGAGAGGAACAGGGTGAAATTCAATAAAGTCAAGTGTCGGGCACTGCACCTGGGGAGAAATAGCCCCCTGCACTGGTACAGGTTGGGGGCTGACTTGCCAGTGAGCACCTCTGAGGAGAAAGACCTAGGAGTCCTGGTGGACAATAGGATGCCCATGAGCCAGCAATGTGCCCTTGTGGCCAAGAAGGCCAATGGTCTCCTGGAGTCCGCCAAGGAAAGTGTGGCCAGCAAGTCAAGAGAGGTCATCCTGCCCCTCTGCTCTGCCCTGGTGAGGCCCCATCTGGAGCACTGGGTCCAGTTCTGGGCTCCCCAGTTCAAGAAGGACAGGGAACTGCTGGAGAGGGTACAGCGGAGGGCTACAAAGATGATGAGGGGCCTGGAGCATCTCCCTTATGAGGAAAGGCTGAGGGACTTGTGTCTTTTTAGTCCGGAGAAGAGAAGGCTGAGGGGAGATCTGATCAATGCTTATACTTTAAGGGTGGGTGTCAAGAGGACAGGGCCAGTCTTTTTTCAGTGGTGCCCAGTGACAGGACAAGAGGAAATGGGCACAAACTTGAACTTAATAAGTTCCACCTAAACACGAAGAGGAACTTCTTTCCTTTGAGGGTGGCAGAGCCCTGGAAGAGGCTGCCCAGGGAGGTGGTGGAGTCTCCTTCTCTGGAGACATTCAAACCCCTCCTAGACATGTTCCTGTGCAACCTGCTCTGGGTTGGACCTGCTCTGGCAGGGGGGTTGGACTAGATGATCTCCAGAGGTCCCTTCCAACCCCGTGTGATCCTGGGATTCTGATCTCCCCCCGAGGGGCTCCCGTGGCCTCTCTCCGGCGGGGGAGCGGGCGGGCACCCCCCCCAGGAGGCCGGGGCTCCCTTTCCCGCCCCGGAGCAGCGGGGGGACAGCGGGGCCGCCCCGTCGGGGGAGACAACGGCCACCGCCCCGGCCCCGCCCACCCCCGGCGTCCCCGCCCACCGGGGAGGGGC